GGGCACCCCTGAGAACTGTCTGTCCGGGGTGGGGGTCGGGTCTCTTTAAGCACAGCCCTCAGCTAGCCTGAGACAGCATCTCCACGCTCTAAGTCCTCCTCTGATGCCCTGCCGGCACTGCTTCCGGCCATCCTTAAGCCCGGTTCAGTGTCCACTTAATGTGGACATGCTAGTTCGAATTAGCAAAACGCTAATTCGAACTAGTTTTTAGTTCTAGACACGTTAGTTCGAATTAGCTTAGTTCGCATTAACTAATTCGAACTAAGTTAGTTCGAATTAGCGCTGTAGTGTAGACGTACCCATAGGTATTTTGATTAGGAGTATAATTTTTGGCAACATAGTTATACCAGTAAAAGCCCTAGATATATCGCAAATTAGATATATCGCAATTGCAAATGAAGCGGGGATTTAAATCCCCCCGCTTCATTATCATAAAAATGGCTGCCGCTTTTTTCCGGCTCGAAAGCGCCAGTCTAGATGCGGACCTTTTGGAAAATAAAGCCTTTTCCGAAAGATCCCTTATCCCTCATTTTAAAATTTAACATTTAAATCCCCGCTTCATTTGCAATTGCGATATGTCTAATTTGCATCCCTTTTACAGAAAAGGGATGCAGTCTAGATACAGCCCTAGTGTAAATTAGGTCTAAAGCACTTTACACTATCTGGCAATGCAAAATGACCTTAAAGTGGGAATGAAAGGTCCTGTAAGTAAGTTCATCATTAAAGTTATTAAACCTGCTTGCTCAGAAAATCCCCACACAAATGAGAAAGATGACAAATGAGCATAGATCTGTAGAAAAGACTACTTTGGAAAACTCAGGTTTGAGAAAAATTACATAGTCCTTTCCATTTTTAAAGAGAATAAAACTTTTAGAGAATCAGACTGGCCTGCTGTGTGTAGCTTGTAATGCTAGCTTAATGGTAACCTCAAATTCATGACCACAGAGCTTAAGCTTCCACTACCAAAAAAACAAACAAACAAAAAACCCCCCAAAAAAGTTGTAGAAATACCTAAGTGCTGCAGTAAAACCAACATATGTTTAAACACATTTTTGTTGGCTACATATGCAGAAGTGGCTGCTACCAAAAAGACAGTCAGGGGTTAAAAAGAAAGAGCTATCCAGTTATTAAAAAATAAACTTGAGATCTCATTGAACAGAGAAGCCACTAGGGAGACTAACTGAATGAGGGAATCATAGTGTAGAGGGATGAGCATAACAGAAATATTCTGCAAAATAAGATGTAAGGCCAAAATAGCTATTATAACCAAACAAAACAACAAAGTTGGACACCTGAGTTACAGACAAAAAGTGATAACAAGCAATGGACAATGCACTGAGCTAACCTTTATGGAGGTATTTCAGAGAGATTTAATTTCCACTTGAGTTCATTCTTGCATGTGGAAAATTTATAAACTCCTACTAAAAAGCTTTCACACCCTTGGAGAAGGAGTCTATATCTAAATAATTATAAGCAGGTCAGGAGTAGGAGGAAGGCTGAACCCAAATGTTCAAGTTTACTGTTTGTCTTGAAAAGCACATCTAGAAAGACAAGGCTAACAACTGGTATTTATAGGTGATATGCAGGCACCATCCACATACAGTGTAAGTAATGATGCATATTTCAAAGCATATGTCAAAAAGCCCAGAGTGGGGAATTTCTGATCAGGTTAGTGGCTGGAGAAAGATCTTTAGAAAAATTCATTAATTTTGTTTTCGCTACACATACCATGACATTTTAGCTGTATTGTGGGGCTAATTTTCACTTCAAAATAATATACATAGTAAGGAGTCCAATTGCTTGGGCTCCTATGGAATTTCTAACCTAGATGATAGTATACATTAATTATTGAATGAATTTAAGATTTCTGAACATTTTAGAGTTATATGGACAAATATGTAAGCCTTTTTTATTTGAATTACAGCTGTATAATTCAAAACAAATTAAATCAATCTTAATATTAAAATTTAATACTAAATAAAAAAATAAAAAAATTCTTTATCATTTGCATCTTTATTAAGTTTCGACATAGAGTAATATTGTATGATAGAGAAAAACATTCCTTAAAATGGGATTACAAGGAAAAGTGCTGACACATTTACACTTTAATTCTAGTACAGCTGTGACAAAAAGGACTCTAAAATACCAGATGTATGTGTACTCTAAATATAAGCTAAGCCTATACTGCCACGTTACTGTTCTGCAACTTTTGGGCTCAAGGGTGTGAGAAAACACTCCCCATTTCCTAAGCGCAGCAAATTACAGTGATGTAAAACACTAATGTAAACCAGGCCTCGGTTAGTAAACCAGCTATCTAGTCCCCGAGTGGATATTGGGGGTGTGTCTAGACTACAGGGTTTTTTCAAAAAAAGTGGTCTTTTTTCGAAAAAACTCCCCCTGCGTCTAGACTGCTGCTGTGTTCTTTCGAAAGTAAATCGAAAGAACGTGGCAGTTTTTTCGACTGCGGAAAACCTCATTTTATGAGGAATAATGTCTTTTTTCGAAAGTGCTCTTTCGAAAAAAGGTGCTATGTAATGCAAACTCTGCTTTTTCGAAAAAGAGCATCCAGACTGCCTGGGTGATCTCTTTCGAAAAAGCGTCTTGCTTTTTCTAAAGTACTGGTTGTAGTCTAGATGCCTAGCCTCTTTCGAAAGAGACTTGCAGTCTAGACGTAGCCTGGGAGAGAGCTTTTGCTGTGGCCACACTGCCATGTTAAAAGATCTGCTGTGCTTGCGCTTTATACTTTTAAGGGTAGACAAAGCCTTAGACACACATTTATTCAAAGTACCTGTGGTCCTATAGGAACCATTCCTCTTGGAGGAGTCATTCTCTGCATTGGCCCACCCATGTTTGGATGCCCTAAAAAAATTACACGACTTTAACAACTGTGGCACATAAAAACATCTAAATTACTGACAAATTATTTCTTCATTATTTGAAAAGAATTTACACAGACTTCAAATCAAAAGGTACTGGTTTCAAGTTTGGGTCCATACACACAATAAAGCTGATATTCTGATCATACATATCACATTTAGTAAACAGGCACTTTACCTTGTTGTCGTGTTGGGTCCATCCCACTGGGCAATAATGGCTGACTTCCCGGGACACCTCCAAGTGCCTAGAGATATACAAAACATATTCAGAGGAGATATGTTAGAAATAGAAATTTTAAACAAATAATTCCGATAATTTTGTTTTTAATTTTAAGACTGTTTTTTTGAGACATACATAAAGCAAAAGATATAGGGCGAGATATAGGGCAAGATATTACCATGGGATCTGCACAGACAGATCTCTGTGCCCATGTAGAGTTCCATTGACTTAAGCAGCTAAATGTGAATATTTTTCAGTATTTATTTGTACCTAATTGTTTTTTTGTTTGTCCTTAGTTTTCTTGTATTGTGTTTCCCATCTGACTATGGAGCATGGGGCAATGTCTTTTCTTGGTTCCGGGGACAATTTGTTTAAATTTTGACATCCTCTCTAGTGTTTTCACAGCATGCCCCATCCCTGGGCTAAGTCCCTCAGGAGACTATTTGCAAGAACAGAACTGTTAACGATCTACTAACTAACAATAATTTACACAACACTATCATTTGGGGCTTGAATAAAGATATTAACTAGTTAACCCACTACAAAGGCAATTTCCCCTGCTTTTGATATTTGCATTTACTAATCAAAAGCTATGAATGGAACACATCCAGCCTGACTCAATTACCATCATTTACACTGATCCTACAGTTGTCAGGTAACTGCTTTTTGCTGTTATATACAGTTTGGATGCTGTAATTTCCACTCCAACTCCTCTGATGAAGTGGGTTTTACCCACAAAATCTCATGACATAATATATTTGTTAGTTTCTAAGGTGCTACAGGATTGTTCATTGTATTCACACCAAAGTTCAAAGAACCACTGAATAGAAATGGCTTGCTGGAGCAAGGGGAGCATTTCAACACAGACACTGGAGTAAGAAGGAAATGAGGGAGGGATGGAGCTGGCAGCATCCCTTATACCAGCACATATGCATGCTACTCCAAAGGATGCCAGAGCCGATCCCCTATAGATAGCACTGAGGAAAAATCTTTCACCATAGGTGCATGTGGTGAGCACATTCATCTTACATGGAATGGACATGAGCAAGCACTTGGAGAATGTGCTGTTATGTTCCACTTGGCCCAAATGTAGCATATTGTTTCCCCTCTCCCTTCTTCCCCTTGCTTCCCCCTTTCAGCTCCCTCCTTCCAGGTTTCCTCCTCCCCTCTCCCAACCTCTCTTCTCCCCTCTCCCGCCTCCTTTCTCCAGTCTCACCAGAGTTTCATTCCCTCCCCTCCAGTTTTATTAAATAAAGAGAGTTTGTGTCCGTGAAAATACGTGTATTTTATTTGACATAAAGAAGGGGAGTTAGGGAGGGGTAAGTGGAAGGACGTGAGGGAGGAATGAGGCACAAGCCCCCAGTGGGGCAGACCAGGGAGGCTCTTAGTGCTCCTCAGGGTGGAAGCTCCCCCGCAGGGCCTCCTGGAAACTGATAGCCCCCCGATGGACCTCCCGGATGGCAGCCTGCAGAAACTGCAGCCAGGGTCACAGCAACGTGTCCAAAGAGAAGCACCAGAGTGCCCAGGGGCAGCTCTGGCTCCCTGCTGCAGAGTGCTGTGGTGTCCCGAGTGAGGGCAACCAGAAAACGCAGAGACAAATACTTTGCTGTCCCTTATCAAGGTAGACAAGCAAGCAGGGAAACCTGAGAACTGGCTGTCCAGGGGATGGGGTCCCTTTAAGCATAGACCTCAGATAGCCTCAGGCAGCAGCCCCACACAGTAAGTCCTGACCAGGTGCCCTGCTGGAACTGGTTCTGGCCAGCCTTAAATGCGATTCAGAGTCCACTCAGTGTGGACGTGCTATTTTGAAATAGCAAAATGCTATTTTGAAATGCATTTTGTGTGTAGACATGTTATTTCAAAATAAACTATTTCAAAATAACACAGTGTAGACATACCCCAAGTTATTATATATCCTTGGAATTTGTTATAAGCTAGTTAGATTTAAAATCAATTTTTCTAGCCTTTTGCACTAATATCTACAGTATAGTCATCTTATAAAAAACTTGATCAAGAATAGATCTTTGAGTATGGAATTATGTTTTAAAACCTATAAAAGACAGTTACCTGTTCTGTAACTGGTGTTCTTTGAGATGTGTTGCTCATGTCCATTCAACATAGGCGTGTGTGCCTGCCACATGCAGTGGTACTGGAAGTTTTTCCCTAAGCAGTACCCATGGAGCCGGGGTCTCCATAACCTCTGAAGTGATGTGCTGCACTATATAGGGCATCCCCTATTAAGGCATTTGATAAGGTCTTGCATGATATTCTTATGAATAAACTAGGCAAATATAACTTAGATGGGGCTACTATAAGGTGGGTGCATAACTGGCTGGATAACCATTCTCAGAGAGTAGTTATTAACGATTCACAATCCTACTGGATAGGTATAACAAGTGGGGTTCTGCAGGGGTCTGTTTTGGGACCAGCTTTTCCTCTTGGACCCTGGGACGTAGAGGCCTAGGGTTTTCAAGGTTATATGGGAATCCTTGAGGTTGTGCAACTTTGTGTCTGTCTGTTCTGCAGCCAAGGCCCCCATATCAAAAGGCAGGTCTTGAATGGAGTTCTGTGCCTTCGGAAACAGGCCTTACAGGAGAAGCCAGGTCTCTTGCCTCATGGAGATGGCAGAAGCAATAGAGCAAGCTACTGAATCTGCTGCATCAGATGCTGCCTGCAAGACCGCCAATACCACAGAGGACCCTTCTCGACGAGGGCCTTATACTCCTTGCTGGAGGTTTTAGGCAAGGAGGTCTCAAAGCTGGCCAGCAATCGCCAGGTATTTACTTCATACCTGGCAAACAAGGCCTGGTGGTTCACCACCCTTAACTGAAAGCTGTCTGAAGAATAAATCTTTCTGGAAAACAAGTCCGGTCATTTGGAGTCTATTCTTGAGAGTGGGTGCTGGCTGGCTCTGGAGCTCCCTGTGGTACACTGATTCCACCATGAGGGAATTGGGTGGCAGCTGGGTATAAAGATAGTCATGGTCTCTGTCAAGGCTGTTCCCCACTCTGGCACAACAAATGCAGAAGTGGGGGCCCGCAAAATCATCCCAAAACCTTATCTCTACAGAAATCCTAATACCCCCAAAATCCTAATACCTGCCACTATCGAAATAATTCTAAGAAAACCAGGGAAGAGATCACTTGGGAAACCTCCTTTCTAAAACCTCAGGGGTAACCTCAAACTCTTTTTCCCCAAAGAGCTTGAAAAAGAAAAGAGAAAACAAGCTGTAGTCTGCAGTAGCTAACTCCTAGTTATACAGACATATCTCCCAGGACACAAAAATGAACCAATACCGGTTAATAAGAAAAAAACAAACAAACTTTTATTATCAAACCATAACAACTGTTGCAAGCATATTTGAGGTGGCTACATGGTAAGATCCACCAATTGATATACTCAGCGAAAATTCCCTGCGTCAGAAAGCTTCATTACAAAGGAGAGAAAAACACCCTTTTAAAGAAAGAAAAAACATTTTTAATAGCACAGACCACAATTCCAGAGTCCCAAACCAGAAAACAATAAAACCCGATGAACTAGCTAAACTTCTCCCTACTTACACCTTGAGTCCATCCTTGGAGATAGACAGGCCTCCCATCTCCCTGTTACTTGGAAGAAACTGATCTGACTCAGACAAAGGAGGAAAAAAATAAAATTCCTTTGTCCCAGTTTGAAATCCCTACCTGCATTACTATTGGCTGACCAGATACTTGGCTAGGGACAGGAGACATAATTAACCCCTTAGCCACCAGCCTGCTGGTCAGCCCCCATAGTTATGACAGTCCCCCACTGGGACAAAGTAATTCCACTCAGCTCTCTTGGCTATAGTCAGAATGGAGGAGGGGGTCTGCCAAAGCATATTGGTGATTTTGGCGACTGCCACAGGGGCAATGCTTGACTCAGGACCCCAAACAACGAATCCAAGGTCTCTTTCATTTCTTTGATGTAGAGGTCCAAGCCATTGGCCACCCTCCTGAGGAGGTCTTGGTGGGCTCTCAAGTCCTCCTGGTGTACTGACGGGGAAGAAGCCACAATCGCCTCATCTGGCAACAAAGAGGAGGCCAGGGCTGCTTGGGCTTACGCATGACGTGGGGGCTGGTCACTCGCTCCCACCACCTGTTGAGGGGAGGCTAGTGTCCCCATGTCCCATTGGGGGCCACAAGGCCCTGGCAGTATTGATGGGTCCTAGGATGCTCCAGCGACTGAGCGGGTAAGCTGGGGCTGTACTGGGAAGCACCAGGGAGTCCATGGACACCATTGCACCTGCCACTGAGACAGTGGCCACAGCATGCCCTGGGCTGGTTGTGACTGAACAAACTGCTACAGAGGCGGGATAGAGGCCACCTCCGAGGCCACAATGCAAGAATGGACACTTGTTGATGCCCAAGATGAGGAGTGGGAACAGTGGCTCTTTTGATGCCAGGACTCCAGTACTGTTGGACACCTCAGAGACCATGAGCATCCAGAGTGTCTGTGGAAGCTGTAATGGCCTGAAGAATCACTCCTTGAGTGCAGAGAGCAATTCCAGAGAGAAGGTCCACCATGCCAGGATGGAGACTGGGAGAAGCAGGAAATGACTCTGAAGCTGGAAAGACTCAGTGCTGGCGAGTATGTATGGCGCAGTGAATGGTGCCAATGCTGTGGAGCAGGGTCTTGATGACAGCATGGTGCTGGGGGAGTGTATGCCTGCATAGATCTGCACAATGGCTCCTGCGACATGGAAAATCATGCATCACACCCCAGTCTCTCACGTGCAGACCTATGGGGACTTTGGAGCGTGATCAGATCGTGCCAGGAGACTGGGAGCTGAACTGTGGTTTACCTTTGTGCTAGTGCCCCTTTGGCATCGAGGGCAGTACCAGCATGGCACTTATATCTTGCGTGGCCAGGAAAGCCTCTGGTGTGGAGGGGAGATGGAGCTCCAACACCAATGAGGGTGACCTGGACGCCAAGCTCAGTGCTGTCTGGGCTTTTCCAGTGCCGTCCACTGGCTGGTCACTTTTCTTTTCCTTATCTTTAAGAGGGGATTTGTCTCTGCCCGGCTTCCTTGCCGGGGCCATGGGTGATGAGCAGCACCATACCGTTGATGCCTGCGGTGCACTGCACACCGAGGCACTGGCATTCAGTGCCGAGTCCAATCTCTTGATCTTGTCAGGTCAGCGTGGACTCAATTAAGAGCACTCTAAGACGGATGCTCCGCTCTTTCATAGTTCAGGGATGGAAGGACCTGCAAATGTGACACTTCTCCAAGGCATGTTCTTCCCCCAGGCAAGGCAAGCACTCAGCATGCGGCTCATAGACAAGCATGGGCTGCAACATGCTGCACAGGCTTTGCAGCCAGGGGAGCAGGGCATGTCCTGTTCCCCAGGCAGAGTGTCTTCAATGGGTTGAAGATTAAACAGTTCACAGATACTTTGCAGTTTGTTAAAAAGTGTTACAATGCAAAGGGAGTGCTTGCTAGAGCCAAGACTGGAGCATGCTGTTCCAAGCACTGTCACTGGCAGTAAGAAGCAAAATGCAGAACAATGTAGCACTTTAAAGACTAACAAGATGGTTTATTAGATAATGAGCTTTCGTGGGCCAGACCCACTTCCTCAGAACAAATAGTGGAAGAAAATAGTCACAACCATATATACCAAAGGATACAATTAAAAAAAATGAACACATATGAAAAGGACAAATCATATTTCAGAACAGGAGGGGGATGTGGGAGGGGGGAGGAAGGAAGGTAAGTGTCTGGGAATTGATGATATTAGAGGGGGGGAGAGGGGGATGTTTTGGGTAATGGGTGAGATAACAAACATTTGAACTAAGTCCTTGTTGGAAAGTGTCGAATTTTAACATGAATGACAGTTCAGAGGATTCCCTTTCAAGTGCAGATGTAAAAGGTCTTTGTAGCAGAATGCAGGTGGTTAAGTCATTGAGAGAGTGTCCTTTCTGGTTAAAATGGCAAGAAATTGTTTTTTCTTTGTGATCTTGTCTGATATCTGTTTTGTGGGCATTAATCCTTTGGCGAAGTGTCTGAGATGTTTGTCCAATGTACAAAGCAGACGGACACTTTCGGCACATGATAGCATAAATTATATTTCTGGATGCGCAGGAATATGTGTTCTTGATCTTATAACTCACTTGGTTAGGTCCAATAATGGTATCAGCAGAATGAATATGTGGACAAAGCTGGCAACGGGGTTTGTTGCAAGGGAAGGTACCAGGGTTGGTATTAGTGTGGTATGTCCTGTGGTTGTTGGTAAGAATCATCTTGAGGTTAGGTGGTTGTCTATAGGAGACTATGGGTCTGTCTCCCAGAGCCTCTTTGAGTATGGTATCCTGTTCCAGTATAGGCTGTAATTTATTGATAATGTGTTGGACAGGTTTAAGTTGGGGGTTGTAGGTGATGACAAGTGGTGTTCTATTGTTGGTTTTCTTGGGTCTGTCTTGTAGTAGATGGTTTCTAGGTATTCGTCTGGCTCTTTCAATTTGCTTTTTTATTTCTCCGGGTGGGTAGTTGAGGTTTATAAATGCTTGGTAGAGATCCTGAAGCTTCTGGTCTCTGTCAGCTTCTGGTGTGTTCTGGATGGGAGCTGGAAGCATGTAGGTAACTGTATGAGTCGGTGGGTTTTCTGTAGAGAGTGGTGTCTAATTTTCCATTGTTGATTTGTACTGTGGTGTCCAGGAAGTGGATCTCTCGTGTAGAATGGTCCAGGCTGAGGTTGATGGTGGGGTGTAGGTTGTTGAAATCTCTGTGGAATATCTCCAGTGTTTCTTGGCCATGCGTCCAGATCATAAAGATGTCATCGATGTACCGTAGGTAGAGAAGGGGTGAAAGGGGACGGGAGTTGAGGAAATGTTGTTCTAGGTCAGCCAGTAAGAAAGAACTGAGGAAGGAGGGGTTGAGGGCGCCCTATATAGTGCGGCATGTGTACACCACTCCAAGGGGCATTGGGGACCCTGGCTCCTACAGGTACTGCTTAGGGAAAAACTTCTGGCATCGCTGAATGTGGCAGGTGCACACACCTATGTTGAATTGACATGAGCAAGCACTCAAAAAAGAAAATTAATTTATTCAAAACAAAATGTTTATCTGGAATAAGTAAATCTGGTGTTATTAAATGCATCTGATCAGGTAATACTGGTACTGCTTAATAAAGGGACTGATCAGTTTATCTTGTCTGCAAAGAAATATTATAAGATTGTGGTGATTTTTAAAATGTTATGTATGTGTGTGTGCACACACTCTAAGGTCGAAGTTTTAATTGCAGCGGAGTCAGGCAATTCAGAGATAATGTTCACATGGTTCCCTTTTGATTCTGCATTACAATAGTGTATTTCATTATATGATGCATGAAGTATAGAAAGTTTCATCCTATACCATTTTAGTCAATGGGAGCTTTATCATTTACATGAAGGGCTCGTCTACATTGGCCCCTTTTCCAAAAGGGGCATGTTAATTTCAGAGATCGTAATAGGGAAATCCGCGGGGGATTTAAATATCCTCCGCGGCATTTAAATAAAAATGTCCGCCGCTTTTTTCCGGCTTTTAGAAAAGCCGGAAAAGAGCGTCTACACTGGCCCCGATCCTCCGGAAAAAGCGCCCTTTTCCGGAGGCTCTTATTCCTACTTCAAAGTAGGAATTTAGGCTTTGCTTTGTTAGAGACCCATACTTTGGACAAGGACTGGATGAGGCCTGGCACTGAAGACATTGTTGTTCTGGTCAAGGAAGGGCCGTCCAGGCTCCCCTGCATGTGCCCTGCTGATTTCTATCTAAAGGAGAAGAACCAGCAGGCTCAGGGTGATATGTAGGAACAAAGAGCAAAAACTGCAGAAGTGAAAAATTCCAGTGAAGTCAGATCTGGTCACCTGTGCCAGAGACGACAGGTGGCACGTAGGGAAGCAAGAATAAGTTCTTAGTGTAAGACACCAAGGCTGGAGTTTTGACACATGCAATATTTATATTATGTATGGTTACATAAAGAAGTGTAATTTTCTTCCACTGTGTCAAAATGTATTATTGCTGAGCAGTTTGTCACATTTTCCTGTGGGATCATGTAATACAGTACCGTACTATAATGCATGTGCTCAAAGGAAGAGCACAAACTGGGACAGTGCTTCCCACAGTTCCCATTGCCCACAAATGGCGATCCACAGCCAACAGGAGCTGCAACTGCCCATACCTGCAGAGGAGCAAGTAAATATGGCAGTGGCAGCCCACCACGGACTAACTCTGGTGAACTTGATCTGGCCAGTAGATTAGTATTTGCTCACCCTGACATTGTCCCTTCTATGTAGAGATCAGAAAGCAGTTAGTAAATTTTAATTAAGCTACCCATTTCTCCTATGTGGTAAACAGAAATTACAGAAATTAATAGTTGATAGAAAAATCAGAAATGGAACTCAGGAGTCCCCTGAATTAATTACTACACCATACTTCCTAAGACAGTGGTTTTCAAACTGCGGTCTGCGGACTTCTATAGGTTTTAACATTTAACATTTTCCATTTAACATTTTTAGAGGTCCACACATGAAAAAATTTTGAAAGCCACAGATCATAAATGCGTCTTTGATATGAGATTCTTACCTGATTGGGTATTCTTAAAGGTGGCCTTGGACCTCCCGGGTATCGAGGGGACATAAAAGGCTGTGGGAAAAAAAGGAACATCACCAAAATTCAATTTAGTTCAGAAATATTTATGTAGTAATTACATGTATCGTTCTTGTGATCCTCACATCTCAGGAGCTCATCTTACACACTTTAAAAGGGTATTTAGTACATTATTCTGCAGCACTTAGCAGAACTATATATATTTAAAAACTTCTGAAGATTAGTACCAAGTTGAATTTCTTAAACATTTTAATACAATTAATGTGTAAGCAGAATACGAACAACTCTGTGCATAGCATATGTAAAATGATAAACTATTAAGATTACATAATCAAATGAAAGTTTTTGACTGAATAAAAGGGAAGTTAATAAGCCTGGAATACAAAAGAAAATACTCTTGGAACAGTTAAGAGATATATAATAGCAAAATAATACAAAATGTCAAGAACTTTATCCTTTTACATTTTCATTTTTCAAAATACAGGGTTTATAATAGTGACAACGGGTTTTGGATATCAGATTTCATTCACATATGAAGGTCTGCAGACTCATCTGAACTACATTATCTAAATATTGAATTCTACCCACATATCTCACGTAATCACACACTAATCTACGTATCCTATCCAACAAAACTTGGTTCATCATCCCTTGGTGCTAGCTAAATGTCCAGTGGTCTTCAGTGGACCTCAATACACAAGACAGAGGTAGTCTTTAAGATAGTTAAGGAGCATACCAGTTAGGAATTAATACAGGTTTGACCCCCCTTGTCTGGCAAACGAGATAATTTGCTGGACTGGGGAAGCGTCCCCTGCCACTGGACCAAGCCAGCTGGCTCCCTGCCTCTGGCTCCCTCTACCCTTCCCAGCTGGGCTGTCTATAGTGCTACTGCTGCCCCCCCAGCCCTGGATTGCCAGGTGCATCTATGGCTCCACCCCCACCCCCTTGTACTGCACTGCTCCGGTTCCCTGGCCCCATGCTGCACAGAGTGTTGGATTTCTCCTGCCCCCAGACCCACACTGCTACGGGAGGCCAGGCTCCTCCAACCCCAGGCCCCATGTTGCCACAGGTGGCTGGGATACTCTAGTCCCTGGGTCTATGCTGTTGCGGGCAGACAGATTTCTTTGGCCCCTGGCCCCGTGCTGCCATGGGTATTCAGGGTTCTCTGGTCCCACACTGCCATGACTGCTGGGGTTCTCTGGCCCTACCCCAGCACTTCTTTGGGGCTCCAGCCTTGCTGCCCCCAGCCGGACTGCTGGCCCTCCTGCCATTAGGCTCTGGGCTCTCTGGTCCAGGAACATTTGTGGTCCTATCGGTCCATAGATGTTGCCAGACCAGAGAGTACCAGTTTTCAGAGGTTCAACCTGTATGTGAAAATCAAAGAATACATAGAAGTAAATAAGCAGCCAAAGCATACATTAGAAAACAGATTTAACACTCCTATGATGGGGCTTAACCCCCATCATCTGAAAGGCAAAGGAAAAAATCCTAATTAGTCATGCTCTGCATCTGGGGTAATTAATTAAGTAGCTTCTGGCCAGATGAGGTGGAGTTATGCCTCAGAGGTAGTTGGAAGGAGCTTAGCTGGAGAAAGACTGTAGACAAAAGAGGTCTCTCTGGCAGAGGATAGGATTTAGCAGACAGGAAATAACAGAGGAAGAACGTTATGGGAGCAGGTTAGGTTCTTGCTGGGAAAGCCTGAGGTCAGAGCCAACAAAGAAACTAAAGCAGAGTCTGAAAGGGAGGGAAAGGGTTATACATTTTAAGATTAATTTGGATTTGTTCATGTTCTTGATTCTGTGCAACACTGTGACCAAAGATGAGGGTGAGTGCTGTTACAATTCTTCATGTTTACCTTTGCCAGAAAAACAGCTAATGAAATCTTCACAAGCTGTAACTTTCAAGCTATCTTCAAATATAGCCATAGATACAGCACCTTGAGGGCATGTCTACAACTAGGAAATTATTTCAAAATAACTTATTTTGAAATAATAACTCCCAAGATAGAGTGTCCACACTACCAGGAAGCCTTGAAATCAGTCCGAGGTAGGTTCCCTTAAGGTGGATGTGCTACCTAGACTTAAGAGCCCCAGGAAGCACTAAGGAGTAATTACTTTGAATGACTCTGGGGAGTAGTTACAGTAAAACTCGAGGGCTACGTCTAGACTGGCCCCTATTCCGAAATAGCCATGCTAATTTCCAACTTTGGAATAGGGAAATCCGCAGGGGATTTAAATATCCCCCGCGGGATTTAAATAAACATGTCCGCCGCTTTTTTTCCGGCTTGGGGAAAAGCCGGAAAAAAGCGTCTAGACTGGCGCGATCCTCCGGAATAAAGCCCTTTTCTGGAGGATCTCTTATTCCTACTTTCAGGAATCCCCCGCGGATTTCCCTATTCCAAAGTTGGAAATTAGCATGGCTATTTCGGAATAGGGGCCAGTCTAGACGTAGCCCTCGAGTTTTACTGTAACTACTCCCCAGAGTCATTCAAAGTAATTACTCCTTTGACGTAGCCCAGTTGTCCGGCATCCTGTGGTCCGGCACTCCCGATAGTCCGGCACCAACTGGAACATGGAAGTGCTCTGGCCAGCCGGACAATTGGAGCTTCTGTGAGCCCCATGGGCACTCGTGGCTGGGAAAGGGAAGGGGATGAGTTCAGCCCTGCACCGCCACCAAGAGTTTCTGGGAAGGGAGCGGGCTCCCCACCCTCCAGACTGCAGTAGTTATCGCTGAGTAGGGGGGTGAGGGGCGGCGCTGCAGGACCAACCCGGCAGCACCCCAACTGCTCTGCTCCAATGCTTCCTCAAGTCTGCTGCTGCCGCTGCTGAAACTGACAAGTTTCCCCACCGTTCCCCGGCAGACCCGTCACAGCCCCACACCAGAGTACCTCCCGATACTCTGGCACATCCGATAATCCGGCATCACCTAGGTCGGAAAGGTGCCAGATTATTGGAAGTTTACTGTATTTCAAAATAGCCGCAGTGGAGTATCCACACTACCGCTATTTTGAAATAACTATTTCGAAATAACTATTATTTCTCATGGAAAGCAGGAGTAGTTATTTCAAAATAATCAGCCCCTTATTTTGAAAAATGGACTTGGTAGTGTGGATGATCTGCTTGTTATTTCGAAATAAGGGGAGAGTAGACCAGGGCTGAGTTATTCCCATCTAGCAGTCAGAAAGCAGGGGAGCAAAATCCAGATCTGAAAGGAAAGGGAGCAAATGCATAACTAGAAAGATGATAAAAGGGTGATGATTCTGGAAATTAATAACACTTGTAATTCTAGGAACAGCTGAAGAGCCTAAATCATATTTCACACATGGCAGTGTGGATATGTTCTTGCGCAAGACTCCTTGCACTAGAACCGTTGCACAAGAAGTTCTTGCGCAAGGAGCCACCAGTGTAGACATAGACTCAGACTCTGTGCTTGCGAGTAGGGAAGCATTGCCTTTCAGAGGCGCCCGGGGGTGTGTGAATTTCCCAGTTACTGGGTGGGGGCTCAAGCCAGTTCTGTGTGAGATGGACCCCTAGATATTGAACCCGGCCTTGGTTGCTGCTGGGCCTACCGGGCAGAAGGGTTACATATATATTTGGACAAAGAAAAATGAGGACAAAACCCTCCCTTCCACAAGCCTTTCCCTCAGCCTCTCTCAGACCAACAGAGTAGAAATTCTGGAGAACAAAACCAGGGCTGGAAGTGTAAGACTTACTGAGCTCACTGAAATGGCTGGAGCAATTGATTCTACAGAGGCTTTAATATTATGTAGGCGAACAAAGTAGAAGATCCCATTATAATACTGCAATTTTTTAAAGAAAAGTCTGCATTGAAAAATTCTAACCAGGGATGCATGAAAATAAACTTTATTTTTCTGTTATAGACATTCATGACAAAGAAAATTCCAACAGCTGGTAGGGGAGCAAAGGATACATTCTATTAAAAAAAAACAGTCTTCAAAATTTCATTCATCTCATTCTAAAGCCCATGAAATATAAGCAGAAAAGGACAGAAATTGTTCGTATTACGAAAGCCTTTGAAAATGCATATGTTGAAACAACGACACTCATCCCGATCACAGTTTGGTTCAGACAGTCAGGAAAAGTGATAATGATTCAGTGTGACTGCTGGACAAGTTACAAAAGTCGGATTCCACAAACAATATCCAACAGGATGCGGATGACACAGAGACTCTGAAATCTTTAACTACCTATTGTTATTACTAGCTATTTTTGTTCTGTTTGCTGTTAAGCTTTAGCCTGTTTCATTTTGAAATGTAAAATGTACAAGATTTATTGTACCTAGCAACCAGGGATTGGGTTAATTCCTACACATAATAATCCAGCTAGTGGGCATGGCTCTCAAGAAACCTATTCTACTTAAATTAACTCTTTCTAAATACTGCAATTAGAGTTTACTTGTTCCCAAGTGAAGTTAAATATTTGGATACTGTTGTTACTTCTTTTCACTTATGTTTTCATATTTAATGACAAAAACGTGCACATTTAAAATTTGCAATATTCAGGAACCTGCATATTAGACTCTTAATTTTCAAAGAAAGGATGAGTATTGACAATGCTACTGAAGCCAGTGGGAACTGCAAGCTCAGTATCTTTGAAAATCAGGCCACAGTTATTTAAAGGCCTACTTTTGGATTAAGGGGCCTAACATTAGGTGTCCAGGTTTGAAATTTGTAGTCAGAGAACCCAGTAAAGAACAACCATGATGACATCTATCCAGGTGTTTGATGGAACTCAGATATGAAATTGTAGGACTACTAACTATAGTACATAATCTATCATTGAAACAAGCCTCTGTACTAGATGACTGGAAGGTAGCTAATGTAACACTAATTTTTAAAAATTTTATGAAAGGCAATCCTGGTAATTATAAACCAATGAGCCTAATTTCAGTACCAAGTAAACTGATTGAAACTATAGTGAAGAAGAGAATTATCCTATGCAAAAATGAACATGATTTCTTGGGGAAGAATCAACATGGTTTTTGAAAAGGGAAATTATTCCTCACCAATCAATAAG